TTTGTTGATACTTGTGAGCCTGTTGGGACAAGCCACCCTACCCCTAATGCCAGGCTCCGCTGTGCTCATTTGAGCGCCAGCCCCTCTCTCTGATGCTGGTGCATTTGAAGAGGCCTTGGACCCCTGGGTGGCAGAGACTTGTGTGCTTTGTTTTGGTTGCTTGGCAACTGTGCGTCTGCCAGGGGCTGTGGATGCCCCTCTGGGCGGGGCATCTGCCTTCCTCCACTCCAGAAGGCTTGAAGGCTCACCTGTCCCAAAGAGTGAGAGTGCTGGGGTAGGATCCAACTTCACAGCATCCGGGGCGTCACCCCGGGGCAGGGGTCCATCAGGTGTCTCAAAGAAGTAGGGACATGATCCTGGACTGGGGCCCGTGTCCAGGGGACACGGGGCCGCACCACCAGCACTTTCACCTGCAAGGGGTCTTCAGCTACCTAATGGTCTTCAGGAAACCCTGCCTAAATTAGCCAGAGCCAGTTTTGCTATTTGCAAACCAAGATCCTCATCTGGTACAGGAGCCCACCATCACCTGCGATAAGAATTTCAGCAGCAACATTTCTGGCACGCCGCCTTCAAGCGCACAGACTCCTGGGCTTCTTTAACTTTGGGCCAACTGTACCCACACTGATGCCTAAACCCCAACACACACTCTCCGTGTCCCTGTGTTTTGTGCCCTTCGCCATGTCTAACGATTGCTGGTGGATACAGCCAGCACTTTTCACTTACCTTGCGATAACCCTGGAAAGACTCACACACATGCACAAACAGTTGTCACTTTTTCACTGCTTTTAGGTTCTTTAATTTATTTTCTCCAATTTCATGTTATTTCCTTTGTAATCCTGAGCCTCTTTTTGCTAGCACTTTGAATACTGCTTTTGTATCTATTGGCTTGAAAGCAGTCTGCCTTGGGAATGGCAATACTTGGGAAGAAGGGTAAAGTGGTAATCAGACCAGCTGGAAGTGGTCTGCTCTCTATAATCACAAAGTGCTGAGTGGAAAGATGTTATTCTTGCCAGGCTGACTGTTCCTTCTACCCTCACCCCTTGGTATGCCACTGCCTATGGGAAGGTAGAATTAATAATATTCATGGAACACTTTGAAACTAAACCAGAACTGAAGTATTAAGTGGTAAAGGGGCATTATGTTTGCAACTGGCACAGAGTCCAGAAGAATTGCATACACGCATACCCATACACACAGAAAAGGATTTAAGAAATGTAAAATTTTAACACTTGGTGAATCAGTGTCAAGGGTGTATAGGAATTCTTGGTTGTATTCTTTCAACTTTTCTGGAAGTGTGAAATTGTGCCAATATCAAAAGCTGAGAGACTGGGGTCGCTCAGAACCAGCTCATGGCCCTTCGGCGGCAAGGGGCCGGACGGTCCCAAGTGGGCCTCTTCATGGGCAGGAGAGGCGGAGGTCTCCGAGGTCCAGCTGCAGGGCCTGGCCTGCCCATGCTCCCCACAGCTTTGTGCTCTCCTTCCCTCCCACTGGGGCCAGCTCTCCCGCCCCAGCTTGCTGGGGACCTTCCCCCACAACCTGCTGAGTGAAGCTCCTCTGTCTTCTGGCTCCCATACCAGCCCCGACTCCTGGCAGTTTTCTGGTATCTCCCAGAGAATTCTGAGCAGAGTTATGACCACTATTTCTTGAGTGTGTCAGACCAAAGTGTTTTAACCCACGTTATCCAGCTGAATCCTCACAGCACCCTGACAGACAGGTGCTGTTCTTGCTGGTTCACAGACCAGGAAGCTGGGGTCTGGCGTGCACAGTGTCTGGCAGAGCAGGGATTCTCATCCAGGCCCCACAGTCCCCTGCCTTCCTTTACTGTCTCTCTTCTTGGGAGTAGGCCAGTTTCTGTGAGCAGAACCAGGTATGGGGGCTCGGCAGTACGGATGACCACACAAGCTGAGGTGCATCCCAGCCCCCCACCACCTTGTGGCTTACTGAGGTGCATCCCAGCCCCCCACCACCTTGTGGGACCCAGACCTTTCCTCCTCTCTCCTGGCCATGGCCTGGCTCCGAGCCAGCCGAGCAGAGCCAGGTCGGAAGGGCTCTGACCTGGGAAAGTGCCCAGGTCAGCACAGCGACTCTCCTGCTCGGATGTTTGCTGTTCCCAGCTCTCCGTATTTGCTACGCCCGATTACTGGTGGGTCCTGGGCTGTCCCCCTTGCCCAGGCTGCAGAACTGCCCCTCCGTCCCATCCAGCGCCCCAGTGTCCCCAAGCTCACCTCATCCTCCTTGGCTCATGCCCGAAGGCAGTAAAGCAGGGCGGGGTGGGGTTTCTGGACCTCCCAGGAGTCAGCAGGGTGGAGAGGGCTATGGGGTTCATCACGTGCCTCAGGCCCAGTGAGCCCTGTACATGCTCCGGGACCTGGGAGGTGTGCCCACCGGCTCCTGGAGGTCCCAGTGGCACACGCTTGGCAGTTTTGCTGTCGTGTGGAGTTGGGCCCCTAGCACCCAAGTCTGGGTAGATGTCCACCGGCTAAGCTCAGGAGACTGAGGTATACATCCAGAAAACCTGGCACCCATCTAGGCCAGGCCTCAGCCTTGTGGGAGTCCCCGGACGGACACGGCCCTGGGGAAGCCACCTCAGGATGGAGAGGGAGGCAGTAGATGTCATGGGGTTCTGATGGGACATGCTGCCGTGGTGCTCTCAAGCTCCAGCCCGGAGGCTGGGACCCCCAGGGTCCTCGCACTGGTCAGTGCTACAGCCATGATGGCCACTGGGCCTCTTCTTTTGGGGGGCTTCCCTTTCAGCATGACATGGTGTTTGCCGGCGGCTAATGCTGTGAATGATGCAGGCAGCTGTAGGAATTCCTAACAGGCGGGAGCCATTCTCCCTCTGTAAGACAGAGGTAAGGTCCTTCCCCATCCTTTCCTGGGCTCTGAGCGCCTCCAAAGGGTCCACAGTGGGTTTCGGGCCCTCAGAGTCTGTACAAAGTGGTCACAGTGGTGTGCGTGGGTGTGTTCCATTGAGGGGGGTAGGGGTCGACAAGGCTCATCACGTGCCAAGTGCGGTCTGTGACCCCATGGTGGGCTGTCTTCCCCTCACTGCTCAACTGATGTGATGGCGGCCCCGATCTTGAAGTTTCCATCCAGCCAGGCTCATGCATCTGAGGCTGAGTAGTTAAGTCTCAGGGACACCCCAGAATCCTTTCCCCCAGGGACATGGGCACGGTGTGTCCTTGTGCTGCCTGCAACCTCTCTGTGCCTGGGGCTGTGTTTACATGTGGAGTTCCTGGGAAGGCAGCGAGGCGGACAGGGTCTAACTCCCAGTCTCCAAGACCCGGACAGTGACTCACGGGGAGGGGGTGGGGCAGCGAGAGTCTGAGGGAAGAAGGTTTTGCCTCCAGTTAACATTAAATAGAGATAATCCCACCCCACGTTCTTGAGTGCTGGCCCTGTGCCAGCCCTGGGCTGAATCTTTGCAGTCTGCGTCTCACAGCGTGCACACAGCAGTGGTAAGGATGGTTACACGTCCTACAAGGCCCAGAGGGGCTGAGTCTCTTCCCTCTACACAGCTCACAGCAGCCTTCTTGGGGCCTGGGGCTTTATACTTAACCCTTCTGGTGCTTCTCACAGCGAGATTCTGGGGCCTGGGTCTCTCTGGAGGGTGTGTGTATCAAAAACGAGGATTTCTGGATCTCGCCCAGACTAAGTAAATCAAACCTTGGGAAGAGGCCCAGGAGCCAGCATTTCAGCCTGTGAGATCCACGCTTCTAAGCTCCCTAGCAAGTTCCTGATGAAATAACTTTAGCTAAGGAGCTGGTTGGAGGAGGCGGGCCAGGCAGGGAAGGTACTCCCTGCTGGGTTGAACAAGTGCACAGTTTGGGGGAGAGGAGGAGACCTCTTCCCTCTCTACAGTCTCCTCCCTCCTGTGGACCCCCTGCGGTAGGGAGAGAGGAGCAGGGGGAACATTTGAATGGTTGAGAGGTATTTGGGGTATTTGGGCTGGGAGAACATAGTGACAGGGGACCAGGAAGGCAAGTGGGATGGGGAGGTACGAAACCAGACTAGACTTCGGTGTTCTTTTTCAGAAGGGAGTGGGGGGCCCTACAGAAGGTTTTCAAGAAGAGGAATGCCGCGGCTTCCCTGGTGGCGCAGTGGTTGAGAGTCCGCCTGCCGATGCAGGGGACACGGGTTCATGCCCCGGTCCGGGAAGATCCCACATGCCGCGGAGCGGATGGGCCCATGAGCCATGGCCGCTGAGCCTGCGCGTGCTCCGCAGCGGGAGAGGCCACAACAATGAGAGGCCTGCGTACCGGCGGGGGGGGCGGAACAAAAAACAAAAAACACGAAGAGGAATGCCATGGTTGGGGTTTCAGGAAGATGACTGGGCTGTGGGAGCCCAGACCAGAGGAAGAATGGAGGTTCCGGCAGCAGTCCTGTGGGGGGCTGAGTACTGGACCCGGGGGCTGGAGGACCCGAAGGGAGAGAGCGTTAAGGGAGAGGGCGTGGAGACTGCGATCCTGGGACTGAGATAGACGGGGAGGAATCCCATGTGAAGCCTAGGAGGGGGGGTGAGACCTTTAGGGGCTTGTTGACTTGGAGGGGCTGGTGGGACCTCCTTGGAGGTGCATTTGAAACGTGGGGCAGGAGGAGGTGGGATCTGGAGGGACACCGTAATAAGGGATTAAGCTAAGAGTCAGCACGCTGGACCGCAGGGACATGGTGTGAGATCCAGATCATTCGAACTTCATCTCTCTGAGGCTCAGTTTTCTCATCTGTAAAATGGGTTGTTGTGAGGGCTCTATGAGGTAAGGGTGTTCCTGGAAGCGCCCCATCAGACACTTGGAAACACAGTCGCTACGGTTTGGGTGGCTGCGGGGGGCCCCAGACGAGCGTGTCTGGGTTCAGCGGCCGGGTGGGCTGCAGGGGCACCACTGCCCCCTGTTGGCGGTCCTGGCCAGAGCGTCCCCGACCTCTGACAGGCGGGGCGACCCGGCGGGCTGCTAGTGCGCTGGCCGCCCTCAGTCTGCACGTCGGCTCGCTCTGGCGCCGCGTCTGTCCGTCGATAGATCCGCGGACGCCCGCCCCACGCTCGGCGGGTGGGCTCCCGGCCCCTGGATCTCGCGGGGCGCAGACTGCATGGTAGGTGAACGGGATGCCGGCGTGGGCACGGGCGCGGCTGGAAGAGCGCGGGCAGGGTCTCCCCAGGGCTGTAGGGATCGGAGGGCGCGTCGGGACGCCCCCCTCCCCGGGGCACTCGCAGCCTTCTAGGGTATTTCTGTCTTTTTGTCGGCCACGCACGCCGCGGGGCTGGGGGCTCCGGTGCAGCGACCTTTCTCGGGGCAGTAGGGAACCTCTCTCGAACCTGGGTTGGCGCCTGCGCATTCCCAGCTCATCTCCTCTGTCCCCGCCCGGCTCCCGCAACAGCCGGCGTAGGGAGTGCGGGTGCGGCGGGCGCGGGCGGAGCGTTTGAGTGGATGAAGATGCCCCCCGATTCCAAAGTGCGGGGATTAGGTGTAAGAGAGGCAGGGAGGCTGGGGGAGGCTTCTGGGTGGAGACTTCGGTGAGGAGAAAGATACTCAGGATTAAGAATACTTGGGATCTAGGAGAGAGACGGACCTGAAAAAGAAAGTCGAGTGGTAGGTGCGCAGGTACATGGGCCACGGGAGCCCCAAACCCCCATCTGAGGACAGGAAATGGAGCTGAAAAAAGAATCCAGGGAGAGGATCCAGGAGCCGAGCCTGAAAATCCGCAGTTGCTCCGAAGGGAGGGGAGGTGGTGGTGGCGGGCTTGGGGAATAGGCTCAGAAGGGCAGCTCTTGATCTTTCGCACCAAGACACATGCCCAGTGGAATCCCGTTCAACCCCTGCCCCATGTCCCTTAGACTGTCCTTCCCTTGCCAGGTGGGAAATAAGGATCATGTCACTATGCATTGAAGTTGAGCACCTGAAATGTGTCAGGCACACTCCTGAGAACTTTATTCTTTCATTTAATCTTCCCAGAAACTATGAGGTAGGCTCTACTTACCCATTTTACAGGTGAGGAGACTGAGGCACAGTGAGGGCATGTCACAGAAGAGGATAGCAGAGCTAGCATTTGACCCCAGGCCAGTCTGTTTAGTTCCATGGCCTGGTTCCTTAACTACTATATCTGGTGGACTGGCAAAGAGATGGGAGCTGGAGAAAGGAGAGGGAACCCCAGAGCTGGCAGTGTCAAGGGTGTCAAATATTCCTACTTCAAACAGTTCAGGTGATAGAAAACAGAAACAAGAACCAACTTTTGGATCAGCATCATAGTTTTTGGCCCTTTCACTGCCTTGCTTGATCCCCACAGTGACTCAGTCCTCACAGTGAGGTGATGTAATCAGGCCCTTCTGTGCGTCAGGCAGGCCCTGTGTTAATACCTTTCATGTCTTAAATTCCTGGATCCTTGTAATATGGGAACAGCCACAGAGAGGTCACCATGCAAATAGTCCCACAGTTCGAAACTGGGGAGGCTGGATTTGAATCCAGGCAGCTGTTTCCAGAGACCTTGCTCTTAAAGACCATGTGATACTGTGCATTGTGCCCATTTTACAGATGCCCAAACTGAGTGTCTCTCCCAAAGTCCATGACTTGAAAGGGGAGAGACCCAAAGGGTGACTGCTGATGGCATAGCCCATGCTTGAGAGTCTCCATCACTGTTCAAAGGTTTCAGTAGATCGTGAAATTTAAAATTGAAGTCCCACTTTTTATCATTTTAAAGATATACTTGTTCTTGTTTTTTTTGGCCACACCGCGCGGCATGTGGGATCTTATTGCCCCAACCAGGGATTGAACCCGTGCCTCCTGCAGTGGAAGCACACGGTCTTAACCACTGGACTGCCAGGGAAGTCCCTAAGATGTACATTTTTAAGATGAAATTGTGATGCATCTTACAACGGATGGCGGTGTTTTTCCTTCTCAGCGGCACATGATATATCGGCCTTCTTGGTGTTGATGGCATCTTTGGTTTGACGACTAACAACAGAACCAGATTCCCTGAGTGACTTTTCTGGGTGTCTCTCTCTCTTCTGTTCCACAGGCTCCTCTCTGCCTCAATTGCTCCACCCTCCCTGGAGACAGGTCCCTGGGTACAAGGAGCCCGGTGCCCTGCAATGGCAGCAGGGCCCTGGGGCCCTTTGACCCCCAGGACTTGAACCTGACTGATGAGGAGCTCAGGCTCAAGTACCTGGGGCCCCAGCAGACGGAGCTGTTCGTGCCCATCTGTGTCACGTACCTGTTGATCTTCGTGGTGGGCGCCGTGGGCAACACGCTGACCTGCATGGTCATCCTGCGCCACAGGACCATGCGCACGCCCACCAACTACTACCTCTTCAGCCTGGCCGTGTCGGACCTGCTGGTGCTGCTTCTGGGTCTGCCCCTGGAGCTCTACGAGATGTGGCGCAACTACCCTTTCCTGCTGGGCCCCGGTGGCTGCTACTTCCGCACGCTGCTCTTCGAGACTGTCTGCCTGGCCTCGGTGCTCAACGTCACCGCCCTGAGCATAGGGCGCTACGTGGCCGTGGTGCACCCGCTGCAGGTCAGGTCCGTAGTGACTCACGCCCACGTGCGCCGTGTGCTCGGGGCCATCTGGGGTCTTGCCCTGCTCTGCTCTCTGCCCAACACCAGCCTGCACGGCATTCGGCAGCTGGACGTGCCCTGCCGGGGCACGGTGCCCGACTCGGCCGTGTGCACCTTGGTCCACCGGAGAGCCCTCTACAACCTGGTCGTGCAGGTCACCGCGCTGCTCTTCTTCTGCCTGCCCATGGCCACCATCAGCGTGCTCTACCTGCTCATCGGGCTGCGGCTGCGGCGTGACCAGCTGCTGATCCGCAGGCAGGAGGCTAAGGGCAGGGCCAGGACTAGCAACGGCCGCAGGCTCCAGCTGCTGCAGGATAGGGGTCGGACACAGGTGACCAAGATGTTGTGTAAGTGTTGCTGCTGGGAAGAGGGGCGGAGCCAGGCACTGGGCATGGGGCTGGGGCTTCCAGGGGCCTGGGGGAAAGGGCCGAGTGTTTCGGTTTAGGATGGAGGCTGAGTGTGAGGTGTGGAGTAAGCCCCCCGCCCCCCACTCCCCCCGTGTGTGTGTGCATGCACTGCATGTGTGTATAGTCTTCTAGATTACCCTTGAGAAAGTGACACCGGAGGTAAATGCTAATGGTTCATGGCGGGATCAGCTACATAATTTGTGGGGCCCAATGCAAAATGAAAATTCAGGGTCCCCTGTTAAAAAATCATTAAGAATGTCAAGACAACAATAGTAGAGCAGCTGTCTTTTTTTAAAATAATTAATTAATCAATTAATTAATTATATTTATTTTTGGCTGCGTTGGGTCTTCATTGCTGCACGCGGGCTTTCTCTAGTTGCGGCGAGCGGGGGCCACTCCTCGTTGTGGTGTGGGGGCTTCTCATTGCGGTGGCTTCTCTTGTTGCGGAACATGGCCTCAAGGCGCGTGGGCTTCAGTAAGCTGCAGCGCACAGGCTCAGTAGCTGTGACTCTCGGGCTCTAGAGCGCAGGCTCAGAAGTTGTGGCGCACGGGCTTAGGTGCTCCATGGCATGTGGGATCTTCCCAGACCAGGGCTTGAACCCATGTCCCCTGCATTGGCAGGCGGATTCTTAACCACTGTGCCACCAGGGAAATCCCAGAGCTGCTGTCTTGAAGGTTTAAAGGTCAGGGCTCTGTGCAAACGCACAGGTGGCACCCATGAAGCCAGCCCTTGCTCATGGAACCAACCACAGACAGGGCAGAGGCGTGCGGCTGGGCTCCAGGATGACAGAGCTGTTCATGGGCTCTGGACCCTCCAGATCTCTCATCTTTGCTCCCAAATATGTTTTGGTTCTGTCCTTCCCTAAGTAGCCTGGGAGGCAGGACCACAGGCACAGAGTTCCCCTTTCCTGAGGAACTAATTGTCCTCTTCCCTTAGTGGCTATGGAAAATCCCAGGGAAGGATTCTGATTGGTGGGCTTGGGTCATGGCCTGCCACCGGGCCAGAGTGGCAGGATGCTGAGGTAAGCAGCCCTCACAGACCCACATGGGGATCCGGGGGGAGCAAAGTTCCCAAAAGAAGGGGAACAGGGTGCTGGAAAGGCAAGATGGTGAATTTCCTGCACACCATGTCTGTGGTTCCCTGGGGACCAGAGGAAGGATCATGATCTAAAAGAGGTGGTTGGAGGCATGTTTGTGAGGGTCTGTGCACAGAGCACAGGAGAATCAGGGCAGAAGTGTGGATTGGGGCCGACCAGGGCACACCCGGCTGGCTTGAGGCTCTGGAGCTTACTGTGGCCTAGGCCTGGTGCTTTTTCAAAAACAGTGGCCCTGGGGAAACCAGGCAAACTGATGCTAAGCCAGTCATTGATTCCCTCCCCATCCTGCCCTGTCCCACAGAGCCTGAATCAGGTAGGTGGGGTGAGCCAGGGCAGGACAGGGCTGGTGAGACCTTGGTCAAAGCCATGGGATTATGGCCAGCTAACTGGGAACTGCCCCATTCCCAGAGAGAGACTCACTCCTCTCCCCCCCAAGAACAGTGTCCCAGAGCCTATGGTCACTTGTACAGCCCCCTAAGATGGGACTGACCTGGAGCTCTGTGCTTGCCTCCTGCACTACAGACCACCTGCCCGGGTCTGCCTCTGCTGCCTTCTACTGCCCTGCCTACCCGGGCTGAGTCTGCTCATCTGGGATGGCTCTCGCCCTGGGAAAGTGGGGTGTTTCCTTAAGTCTGCCTTGCTTGCTGGCCTGGGGCTCTGGCTTTCTTCTCTCCCTCCTGCTCCTGTCTTCTCTTTCTGAGGGCCTACTGTGCATCAGGCTGTGTGCTGGGGATGTAAGCAATGTTCTGATTGAAACCCGGGATTAAGAGGAAAACCACGCTGGAATGTAAGGGGGAGGACACTGCAGGGGAAGGATTGCGAGCTGGAGATGCAAACATGAGAAACAAGAAACAAAAATCAACACAGACCTGATAGCAAAGACCCAGGGAGGGTAGGGTGAAAACCAGGGCTGGAGGGAAGTTCCGGAGAAAGAGTGAAGGATTGGCTGGCCTGGCCTGCCTTTTACTGGGGCTTGGGGTGGGGCTGTCGAGGAAAGGGGAGGTAATGCAGGGCAGGATATTCAGGGGCACCCAGGAGAGCTGGGGGCTGGGGCTGGGAAGGCTTCTAGGGCCAAGACAGGCGAGTGCGTGGGGGCGGGGGTGTTTGTCTCGCTCTCCCTGTAGCTCCCTGGCTACTGCTGTCTGACCACGGGCCTCATCCTCCTGTTTCTGCTTATGCATGAGCGGGCATGGCCCCTGAGTGGCACCCAGAGTGGGCCTTAGCCGCACTGTGTCACGCTGGGGCTCAGCATACACAGCTGTCACTTAGGTCCAGTTCCACGGTGAGAGAATCGGACCAGGCCAGTTTGGCCCGCGTGTCCACACCGGGTCCAGGGCGCACGCCCACTGCCCAGTCGGTGACAGTGGCGAGAGCAGCCTCTCTTATAGGGGTGTGGCCAGGACAGGCAAACTTCCAGAAACCTCCAGATGGACAGTGGGTGTGGGTGGCTGGTGGGAGGGGAGAGGAGAGAACAGGCTCCCTTTCTGCCCACAGTTGTCCTGGTCGTGGTGTTTGGGATCTGCTGGGCCCCGTTCCACATCGACCGCCTCATGTGGAGCCTTGTGTCCCACTGGACCGAGGGCCTGCACCTGGCCTTCCAGTACGTGCACGTCGTCTCCGGCGTCTTCTTCTACTTTAGCTCGGCCGCCAACCCTGTGCTCTACAGCCTCATGTCCAGCCGCTTCCGGGACACCTTCCGGGAGGCCCTGTGCCTGGGGGCCCGGTGCCGCCGCCACGGATCCCGCCGCAGCTCTCACAGCCTCAGCAGGGTGACCACGGGCAGCACCCTGTATGACATGGGCTCCCCCCGCAGCAGGGTCCAGCCCCTGGCTGAGAATGATGGCCCAGAGGGGTGGCAAGAGACGGACCCCTCCCGAGAGGAGCCTCAGGCAGCTTCACCCTGAGGGGCCAGAGGGCCACGCCCAGCTTTGGGGACCACACCTGCCTCCTCTGCAGCATGTCTTTGTGGCCTGTCCCCCTTCGTGCCCCATCCCCACTTCAGCCTAGAAACCCTGACCAGCACCTCAGTGATCCTGCCCCACCCATGGATCAGAAGGACTGTAAGGTTGCTGTCTGTCCTCCAGACTCTCAGGTCCCCAGTTCCAGCCCTTCCCCTGGAAGGGGAACATCGTGGTCGGATAACTGCGCACCGCAAGACTCTATCTGGGGACCCCCCCCACCCCCAGCCCGTTTCTGAAGTGTTTCCGTGGCGCCCTTCCTTTCCTTCCCATTTCTTGCAGAGCTTCTGCAAGATCTGGCCCATTCTGTCCCTCTCTAGCTCTTGGCCTGCACCTGGGATTCTGACCCGACCCCCTCCCTGGCCCCCAGTCGGCTTGTTTTGCTCTGGGAGCTCCACCCGGTGGAGCCACTAGGCGGCAGGTGTGTCAGGGATCCAGGAGACCTGGCTCCGGTCTCAGCTGAGCCACCGGTCACCTGGTCCCGGCATCAAGCAAACTGCCTCGCCTTACAAGCCTCGGGCCCTGCTTGCAAAATGAAAGGGGCCATGACATTCTAGAGTGTCGCGCTTTGGCACTTTAGCTGTGGTTTTCTGTGTGCGTGCCTAAGTCCCTGCTTGTAACAAAACAGATACCCTCAGATTAGCAAGGCGGAAATTACTCTTTACATCCTCACTAACCCCCAACCCTTACTCCCTCCCTGATCTCTACAAGCCCCCCACCCCACCCCCTCGAGAGCCACTCAGGGAACATGCTTTGCTTGTCCTAGAGCAAGTGAGGCTTGGCACCGACCAAGGGACTGTGTGTGAGCAAAGGCCCCTGCCTGCCTCTGTCTTCACCTCCTCACAGGTTGGCTTGGGGGCCTGAGGTGAGCAGAGAATTGGGCCTGACTGGCCAGAGAATCTCTGGGGGCAAGAGACATGGGCCAACCAAGGGCAACGAGTGACTCCGCGAGAACTGCTTGGGACTCAGTGAGGTGAGAAGAGAGACACGTGAGTCCTGAAACGAAGCTCCATCCCGAGTCCCTGTGGGTAACTGGGTGCTCAGTCAGGACCCAGTTAATGGCCAGAACTTGTCCTGCTGCAGCCCCTGACCTGTCCTCCTCCTAAGAGGGGACTGCAGCAGAAGGAGCCCTGGCCTCCTTTGCGGGGAGCTGCAGGACACCCAGGGTGCTACAGGTTCTCCCTGCAGACTCTCCACAGCTCAGGCCCCAGGTCCCCTGACTGCAAAGTGGAGAAGATTGTACAAAAGTGTCCTGGAGTTTTTGAAATTCAGTTGTAAAAATAATACATACTCATTTTAGAAAAATTGGAAAGTACAAATGAGCAAAAATGAAAACAATTTAAAATAATTAAAACCCACCCTTGCTAGGGGATGGGGGGAGGGGGGAATAGAGAGTTGTTTAATGGGTACAGAGTTTCAGTTTTTTAAGATGAAAAAGTTCTGGAGATTGGTGGCAAAACAATGTGAATATGCTTGAACAATATTGAATTGTACACCTAAATGGTTAAGATTTAAATTTTATATGTATTTTACTACAGTTTTTTTTAAAGAAAGGGTTAAGTCTAAAGGAAAATAAAAAATTTAAAAGCCACCCATAGCTTTACTTTCCAGGGTAACCACCACATATAAGACAGGATGGGGGGATCTGAGAAAGGAGCTTGTGAAAAGAGGCTGTGCAGAGCTACGAGTGCCCAATGGCACCTCTGAAATGAGCTCCCAGGCGGCCTTGGGGTGTCGGTGGGGGAAGCAGCTGAGGCCAGACTTCAGGCTGGAGCCTGCTGTTGTCCCCAAAGACAAACTGGACTCCCCGGAGCCTCTCTTAAGTGACAGAGACGACATGCTCCTGAGGCTCTGGTCAGTATTTATGAAGGGGCTACTATGGGCAGAGAAGCAGCGGGCAGGTTGGGGAAGCGGGGGATGTGAGTTATCAGAAGGCCTGGGCTCTGTAAATTTGATGTCTCTCAGGTGTCTCCACGGCATGTCAGTGGATAGGTCTCACTTGTCATGAGTCACTGGTTACCATGGAAAGTGGAAGCAGCAGCTGTGGGCTCAGCCCTGGAGAAGAAAGGATGGAGGTGGAAAGGCCAGCCAGCAAGATCCCACTCTGTCCTGGAAGCAGCATCGCCTGCAGCCCGCTCTTCTGCACTGGTCGGGGGGGAGGGGGGCGGGCAGCAGCGTTCCTGAGTGCTCAGTGCTACTCCCAGGACAGGAGTCCTGGCTCGTCTGGGACTCGGGTCACCTCTCGTCCTAGCTCTGGCTGCAGTCACACAGATCTCTCCTCCTCCCATGTTCGAGAGTTTGGGCCCGCTCTACTTCCCGTCTACTCCACTCCTGCCATTACCCTGGGCGATGCTGAAGTCCCCGTGGATGGCCCACCGCTGCCCTGGTATCAGCTCCTGATCTCTCCTGCAGCTCTGGAGACTCTCCTCCACCATGGCCTTTTGGCCCCTTGGTAACATCCTGACTCCCAGAACCTCTGGGCGTTTTTCCATTTCTGGAAGTGTGAGCTCTTTGACCATGATTGCCTCCTTCCGGCTCTGCTGCTTTATAAATGATACATTTATTCTTTAACCTCATCTAACCTTCCCAGTTCTCGACCACTCTGCTTTCTCCCCATCCATCAGCTTCCTCTCATCTTCACTTCCTTTCTGATGGGTCCTAGATCCCATGGTCCATCACACACAACCCTCTCTGCCAGTATTTCTGAGAGCGAAGGGGAACATACTGGGATCACCCTTTCCTTCTCAGAAAAAAGGCTTATTTTCTTTGGGAACTCACCAAGATGAGTCTCATCAACAAACAAAGCTGCATTTGCCCACCCTTCCTTCTGTGAAGTACCTGCTCAGGAAATATAAAGTGTGCAACACTTCACATCTATTCTTACATAGTCAGATGGCGTTTCCAAATCAATCCTGACACCTGGGAGCCCATCTCATTTTGTACACTTCTTGGTGTCTCCCTTTTCCCCATCCTTGTCTTCTAGTGGGTCCACCGAGTCTTCTTTGTTCCATGTCTTCCCTGTAGAGAGGAGTTGCCTTTTTGGAGGGCTTCCTAGTATTTGCACTCCCTTCCCATTGAGGGGGATCCCTGTGTGTGTGACTCTTGGTTTGAGACCAAGCCCAGGCTCCTACCACAGAAGCTGAAAGGGTTCTGGACACCGCATCACTGACACCACTGTGTGACCCAGGACTTGCACTCAGGCAGCTGGATGGTCTGACCTGGGACTTCCACTGGGAGTGATACTAAGACCCATGACAACAGGGGCAGACGTGTCCAGGGCAGCAGTGCTAACAGCAGCATCCCATCCAGGCTGCTCCCGGGGCCCCTGCTGCCCAGTCTGCCTTGGCTTCTGCCCATTTTCTCTGCCGGTTTTTCAGCCTTCTTGTTGTTCTGAGCTACTAAGAGCCTTTCAATAAATTCCTTTTTTGCTTAAGTTGGCCAGAGTTGTTTGCTGCTGTTTGCAACCAAGAACCTTAACAGATCCATCTACCACTGCTGTGAAGGTTACACATTCTGTTTGTTCTACTAGTGGTTGTCTTTACATATTTCTAAGATGAACAGATATTATCATTGTTTTGAAACCCCAAACTACAGTCTGTAATACTTAATCATTCTCCTCTCTCACTCTGTTTTTAAAACTTTTTTTAAGAGGCAAGAACGATGAGGACAGACTTAAGGAATTTGATCCTAGAAACACACTTACATTTTTCTAACAGTGTAATCCTCTTCAGCACAAGGACTTTAGTGTGCTTCTTCTGCCAAAGCAGTAGGGTATAAAGGTGGTGAGCAGGGACTCGAGTCAGGCTGCCTGGGTTCAAATCCTGACTCAAAAGTCAGACTGGCCTTAGGCCAAAGTCAGACTGGACTGAAAGGTACTGACATTTCTAAACAAAGGATGAGCAACCTGCCTGCACACAAATAAGAGACTCAGAGGCCAACACTGAGCGCTGCATCCTTCCAAACAGTGTCCAGGTTCCTAAGTCTACGAGGTTTAGTTTGAGGATGGTAGTTACTGAGGTAAATGTCCCTTTGTGTGGCCTCTTTAAATGCAACACCCCAACTTCACCTTCTTTCAAGCTTCTGCACAAGGCAGGGCAGGACAACTGGGGGGCTGTTTAGGAATAAAGGCCACGGCCCAGGTGAGGGACAGTGGGGATCCAGCGAAGGCCGTACCTGGCTGGGTAAGAGTGCCCTGGCTCAGGAGAGGTGGCCACAGGCTAGAGCTAGGCTGGAGGGCCTGGAAGCTGCTGCCACATTCTCTGGAACATCTACAAGAGTACCTGGGGTCTTTTAATCTAATATTCAAGTAGCTTCGTCAGCTCTGAGCAGTGTGGGCATTATTCATTCAGCTGACATGTACTGAGTACCACGTGCCAGGAACTGTACAAGGCTCGGAGCGGGGGCATACAAGTGTTCTGACAGCAGCAAGTCTGGGGGCACAGAAGAGAGGCAGCTGCCCCAGTGGAGGGAAGGTTTCCAGGAGGAGGCGATGCTGCTCAAAGTTCTGGGAGAAGGGGTTGGACTGGCCTCTGAGCTTTGGCCAGGGAAGGGCGGAGCAGCTATAATGACAGTTCCACCAAAACTGAATCCAGGGGAGGGGGACCCTAAAGGAAACAGGGGCCGTCAGGAGGAGGAATGGACACTGGACAGGCAAAAACAATAGCAAAGCAGACTGCGGTCCAAGTTCTTTGCTCTCATTCTCTGGACTTCCCTGGTTGCTCTTCCTGGAATTTGCACTTGGAACCTTCCCTCCAGTCTTCTTGTCTGTCTGGCCTTCATGCATAGGTAGGATGTGTTTCCATTTTAGTAAATTTGAAGAAACAAAAAAATGAAGTATACAAATAAACTACTTTTATTCCCAACACCTAAATTAACCACTATTAACATTTTGGCAATTTGATCCCTGTCATTTCCCACACATACACCCTCCACTCATTAATGAATAATACATTGTTTTCAATTGTTTCCTTTATGAGAGAACTGCCTTGAACCGTCTGGTACAATATCCATGGTTACGATGGACGGATGAAGCTGACAATACCCAAACTGTGAGATCAAGTTTACCATCACTTAAAAGTGGGGACTTAACCAGACATTAAGTGCCTCCTAGAAGGATGTAACAAGTACACAAAACCAACCATAAGTCTTGCAAAAAAAAAACTGAAGCTGAATGTAAGGAAGCCTCCAGATCTAACTGGAAGTTTACAAGATCACTGCGGATGGAGGAGCGTGTTCAAGACATCTCAGCGGTGTAAGCCAAATCTAGCATAAGGACAAATTCTATAAGACAAATGGCTTGGTTTCTTCAACAGATAAATGGTATTTAAAAGGGGGTTTCTATTACAAAATAAAAAAGATTTAAAAGATGTATCAACCAAATGTAATGCATGGAAATGTTTGAATCCTAATTCAAACATGCTAACAGTGGTTGAGTGTCCACCTGCCGATGCAGGGGACACGGGTTCATGCCCCGGTCCAGGAAGATCCCACATGCCGCGGAGTGGCTGGGCCCGTGAGCCACGGCCCCTGAGCCTGCGCGTCCGGAGCCTGTGCTCCGCGGCGGGAGAGGCCACGGCAGTGAGAGGCCCGTGTACCGCAAATAAAAAAACCAAAAAAACATGCTAACAGCAAAAAACAAACAAACAAACATGCTAACAGCAAAAAGGCATTTTTGAGACAGAAAACTGAACACAGACTAGATATTAGATGATATTAATCCTGATAGCCTGTATCAGTACTTAATAAAGTGTTTACTGGCAAAATAATAGGATGCCTGGGATTCACATTAAAATACTCAAGCCAAAAAAAAAAGGGAGAGAGGGAGAGCAAAAATAAAGTGGGGCAGGGAATAGCTGGAAAAAGATTTGCAAAAATATTGAAGTGATTGAGGTGATGGGTAAAAAGGGGTTCATTATATTATATTCTACTTAATAATGTATGCTTGAAAATGTCCATAATAAATTTTAAGTTTGCAATAAAGATTCACATATTTGTATCTTCAGCAGCGTGATCCCTTATCTCTAGGTGAGAAAAGTGGAATTCCTAAATTTAAGGAAGGAGAATTTTTACCTCAACAGGAAGTCGCCAAATTTCTCTCCAGGTGTTTGTAATGAGGGGGTTCAGGATATGCTACCCCAAAATACAGCACCTTGGCATACTGAATATCTTATGCCAAATGCATCGGTAACACAGCAGGTGCAGAGAGGACTCTCTGACCTTCCCCTGAAGCAGGTCATGAGACCCTCACGCGAGAGGTGCTCTCCCTCTACCCAGAGGAAAGAAGCATTCTTTTCTCCAAGACTGAGGAACACCAAGACCACACTTACCTCACACTTCTTTCCTTACTATCACATTTTGTGACACCCTCTACTCTTCAGCACATCTAGCAAAACACTCAGGTTTAACCCATTCTTCAGGTCTTCATTTCCTTATGAAGGCTCCTGTGTCACATCAAACTGTATGCTTTTCGCTTGCTAATCTGCCTTTTGTTACAGGGCCCCAGCTAACAATTTAGACAGGTAGAGGAAAAAGATATTTTTCCTCCTCTACAGAAACAATTTGCCTTCTCACCAGTTTCCCCACAATCCCCAAACACTTACTTGTTTGATGTTTTAATTTCTGTTAATCTGATGATACAAAATAGTATTGTATTATTGTTTTAAATGATATTTTCCCTGTGGTTGTATAGCTGAGCATCTCTTCGTTATCTTTTTGTGCCATCTAAATTTCTTCTGAAAACTACTTTTCATATCCTTTGCCCATATTTGTTTGCCGATTTTTTTTTTAACTTTTGGCTGCACCCCATGGCATGTGGGATCTTAGTTCCCTAACCAGGGATGGAATCAGCCCCCCATGCATTGGAAGCGCAGCGTCTTAACCACTGGACCACCAGGAAAGTCCCTGTTTGCCTTTTTCTTATTGTAGTTTTTCATATTCTGATACTAACTTTTTATTATATATGTTACAAATATTTCTTCCCAATTTGTTCCTTATATTTTAAATTTGTTTATAGAGACTCTTGCACCCAAAGGTTTTAAACTGTAACATGGCCAAATCTGTCATAATTTTTTTGCTCTGTCACAATCTTGCTGTGTCTTAAGAGTGACATTCATATTCCAAGTTCTTATTACAGATTTTAATAAGAATGCTTCTTAATTTTTGCCATCAAATATTCTACATTTTCAGATAAGGTTTATCTAAAAGATATGTATTTTTCTTCCTTTAGTCTCTTAGTTTGACATTATTAACTTACCTTGCGACATCTGGCATTCCAGAGATAAATCCTATTGGTCAATATTCTTTTTCTATATTCTGTCAAGTACCAAATCTAAAATACGTAGGCAAATGGTTCTTCTCACTCTTCCTCCCCAATTTGGGACTTTCTGAAGCTAGGACAAAAGCAGGGCCCCTTACTCAGGGCCACCCTTCCCCACCCCTCAAAAACACACACATGACCCAAAGCGCTCATTTTCAAATCCCAATGTGGATATTATTCCTAGAATTTTGATCCCACTACAGGGCCTAAGGGTGCTAATGGTCATTGAGAGAGCCCATATTAAAGATGGCTTAATTCAAAGAAAATAAGAGACCATATTAAGTAATTGAGGATGCAAATCAATGGCCTCGGACGAGTTCCTTAACCTCACTCTGTGAGCCTGGGAAACCAGTAACCGATTCTAAGTCACACATTTGTTCTGAAAAGTCCATGATAAAATGTATGAAAAGCAACCAGTATAAGGCCTGGCACAAAACAGATATTAATGTTTTAGCTGTGACCATTACTACTATCACTAACTGCTTTGAGGGCAGCTTCAGACGCGGGTGGGCAGCGAGGGAGGGTTCCCCGGGGTCAAGAGGCCGACTGCCGGCTTCTGGTCTCCGCTCCACCTCGCGCTGTAAGGTCTGTGCCTCTTTCTAGGCTGAAAATGTCGAGAGTACTAACACACACCCCAATGAGGGGGTGGCTGCCTAACCGGATTAATGGATGTGAAAGACTGGAACCGACCCTGGGTCCCCGCATGTAGCGGAACCCGTGCCTCTTTCCACGGAAGCGCTGCACTCACAGCGAGCGCCAACCTCACCCACTCGGGGGCCTCCCGGGCCCGCCCAAACCAAAATGTCCTCCCTGCGCGCAGGCGCAACACTTGCTGCCCCGGCTCGAGACCCCGCCCCCAGGCTCGCGCACTGCCCGCCCCCCCAGGATTGCGGCTCGGGACTGGCCTAAAGGCAGCGCGGGCTCTGATTGGGCGAGGCGGAGTCACGAGGGCGTCATTCTCTTCCGTGCTGTATTCTGCCTGGGCCTAGAGTTCTGGGAGGCTGCTGGGAGGGCACTGCCAGCCTGCGGGCTGCTGCAGGCTCTTCCCGGGCGTGTAGTGCAGGTGGCCGCGCGTGGTGGCCCGCGGGGCTTTGAGTGGGCGGGGCCCTACACCAGCGATAGCTTTAAGGGGAGGAGTACTCGTCAGGGACAACACTGTGCGGGTTAATTTGGGAAGTGATGGTTAAAGGTCATGGCTTGAGACTCACTTGTGTTGTTAATTTTGATGGGGGTAGAGCTGGAAGCTGCTCCAGTTAACAGTGAGTTCTCAGTCTGGAGAGGTAAAGACACTTGAATTGTAGGTACTGATTTTGTTCCGCTATGGGGGCTTTATTTTGGTCCCGTGTGCTTCCGTTTGAGCAGTCGGTGGTGGAATTACTAATTTTTAAGAGCATCAGAGTTACTTGAAAACGATGGTGAAGGGAGCCTAATGAGAGGAAAAGGGAGGAATTCCTTTTTTACCTCGAGGAGTTTCGTTTCTAGATCGTGGCAAAAGAGAAGGTATGGGAGACCTAACCTACAAACATATACCAAAAATTATCTGTGCAATATATTTTGATATTAGCTGGTGAGAGTAAAAGATTCCAAATGAAAATAACTAGGATGAGGCCTAACACGGACTTATTGCAAATGGAAGCTTAACACGAATACTAGAGGCAAAAGGTGCATAGCCTGGAATGTTGAAGTCCCTGTGATGTGCCTAATAATCTTGTCCATTTGAAGCAGGAAAACAAATCAAGGTGAACTGAAGAAAATGAGCCTTTCCCCAGAGGAGATAGAAGGTGGGGAAGATGAGACGTCAGAAGATAAGGGCAGTAGAGATGAGGTAACTATATGTACAGTGTGCAGCACAGTCACTTACTAATGTCAACAATCCAAACCCAGAGGAAGACAGTTAAACTGCATTGTTTGATCTGAAAAGTGGTTTTGTGAACATTTTCCAAGTAGTTTCACAAGCTCACCCTAAACTCAATACCAAAATCTGACAAGGTCATTTTTAGAAAAGAACGTTACAGACCACTCTCATGAGCGTAGATGTAAAAATTCTAAACAAAGTATTAGCAAACTAAATATTAGTGTTATGCAAAAAGAAAAGTACATTGTGACTAAGTGCAGTTTATTTGGGGAATAAAAAAGTGTTCTTTGTTTGAAAAGTGATTTTGATTGCCTGGAAATACCGGTTTGAAAGAAAATCTCTTGATTCTTAAAATTGCTTCCTTCAATTCCATTAGTTTGTGTGTCCACCAAACATATGTTTCCATATTTATCCTTTTGGCAAATATTTGGGTCCCTAGTATGTTCTGTTTCTGGCTGGGAGCCTCTGCATTAGTATTCCAATGTAGATAGGTTTAAGTTGGGCCCTAAAAGAATTGTGGTGGGTGAGTGGGTACACAGTTAATGAGTATTGAATGCTTCATCTGTGCAGCCACTGTGCTAGGACTTGATGCACTATCTCATTTCATCCTCACAGTGACCACGTTAGGTAGGGATCCTTAGCTCCATTTTATAGACAGGAAAAGAGATTTAGTCATTGACTAACTTGCTCATGGTTTCATGAGCTAATAAGTGACAAATAATAAGTGACAGAACCTGCGTTATGCATTTGGTTCTGCCGAATCCAAAGCCCCTACTCTTTCCTGGTTCATTTCTCAGTCTTCACCCAAGCAGCTCTTTTGGAGAGACAGATAGGTATTCAATTGCCAATCTTTTGATATGGGGCTAAGGCTTTGTTTTTGACTTTGAGTTCACTGTTGCAGTAGCTTATCTTTGTATAAAGTATACCCATTGTGTATCTTTTGCAATTTAAAATATGTTTCTTTAAAACAAAGCAAAACTTAAACGCTAGGAAAGCGATTCGAAAACAGACGCCTACATTTTTACCTTGTTTTCCCCATTCTTTTATGGTTCCTCACCCACACCTAATTTGACTGCACTTTTTGAGCTTTATTGAGTATGTCCAAAGCGTTCAACTTTGTTTTTACTAGATTCAATAACTTTTTGCATTAATCTGATTGGTTTATATGACATTTATTATGTAATTGAAACTGCAACTACAACGGTCATATATAGGTTTGCGAACAAAAGACTGAGGCTTATTAAGGATACAGTTCAGCTTATAGGATCAGAAATTTCTAGGTGTACCGAGTACCACTTAGTAGCCCATTAGCCGCATGTGCTTTTCGCATGCATTTCATAGGCATCAAGTTAGTAAATCCTGTTTGGAAGTGAGATGGCCATTTAATCCAGCCACAGACTAGCTTAATGTGACACAGTTAAGTGGACATAGTTAGTAGACATAGTTAGGAGAGCACCTACTTGTACTGTGATGTCCACAGCACAGTGCATTAACTCTCTATACCAATCAGAGCCAAAAAAATTCTTGGTGAATGCAACTTTTGTTTCGGAACCCAGACTGTGTTAGCTCAGAGGAAAATAGGAGTAGTCACATTATATTTTCCTTAAACTGAGATGCATGTGTTATGGTTCTAGACTGTTCACACCGGCAGCCTTTGGTCACTCCTCTTTAAGATGTGATGCCTGTGACCGTTTACTCTGATTGGTGCAGCATATAGTGGTAGTATCACAGTTAGATCAACTTCTAGGCTAACCATACCCTACTGTGGGCTCGTTGAAATTATTTAATTCAAACCCTAGTCTCTTTCACGTGCCTTCCCTGATCCCATGTCATTCCTATGCCAGATGAACTGGTCCCTCCTGTTTGCCTGTAAATATTGTTCATAGCCAGTAATGCTAATCACATATTATAGTGACTCATCTCTTCCTGTGATGTGGGTTGAGGTCTGTATGTGTGTATGTGTGTATGTATATATACACACATACATATACATACACACACACACCAGTTGTGTTTTTGCTGGGGCTGCCATAATAAAATATCACAGATGTGTGGGTGGCTGAAACAACAGAAATTTACTTTCTCTCAGTTCAGGAGGCCGGATCAAGTTGTTGGCAGTTTGGTTACTTCTGAGGCCTCTCTCCTTGGCGTGTAGATGTCTGCCTTCTTGCTGTGTTTTCACATGGTCATCCACTGCCCATAGTTCTTCATTTTCTCCTTTTGTATGTGGCGAGACTTCATTCAGTGTTCTGCTAAAATTTTCATCTTTAGTCATTTAGTTTTATAATACTGTGCCCAATTTTTAGTAGCTCTGGGATAGGAATCAGTGGTGTAATTAGGAAGCATGAGGTCCAATTTTGGGGGCCTGGCTCTCATTCCTGTGTATGTTTTAGGTGCCTGCGTGGGGGTCCTCTCCTTTGGTGTTTTACTTGAATGCAGGGAGTTGGGACTCTACAGACACACTGAGCCACCTAAACAGTCGTTGACTTGGTATGTTTTCCTTGCATACTTTTAGAAACCTAGATCCTTCCCTGTAGAGATTCTGATTTCGAAGCTCTAAGTGAAATCCAAGAATTTTCTTTTTCTCTTTTTTTCTTAGACAAGCGTGCCAGGTAATTCTGGTGCTGGGAGCTCTTTTACTGCACGCTGAGAAATTCGTCCTGGAGAAATCAGCACAGACGTTGACACGTGGGCCTGAGCAGATCTTGCACTTGCTGACTGTGCAATGTGACTGTCGCCTCCTGGCCACAGAGGAGACATCTCTTCATTGTTGTTCTTCCTCCTCTAGGTTGATGTCCCTCAGAAAAATGGTAGGAAGATTACTACTGCTCCAGGAAATAAAATCGAGAAAAAAAAGTTTCTGGCTCCCATGTTTGCTGAGAAGTTAATATCACCATGCAGGAAGGGAGCCACAGGGGCCAAGGTGCCAAAAGACAGGAGGAGTGCCCTGCTCGAGAACCATGAGAAGTGACTTGAGAACCCTGAGGAGGATGAAGGTAAGAACTGTGAGTTGTATCAGGATGAGGGACGTAAAGAGTCCCCTCTGGGGACATCCCTGCTGGTGGCTGTCAGGGGTCAGCCCTACGTGCCATTGCACATGGCTCTCGAAAGGGTTCTGTGGAAATACCACCCTTGGCATCCCTGGCCGATTCTCCAGGCTTGGCTTGAGGAGTCCCAGTGGACATTTGACTTCTGCTGTCCACATGACCAGAATCAGAGTTTTCTCTTTGAGTATTGTACACTCTTTCTCTCCTTGTGCTTATGAGCCAGGCAGGTTAATTGTCCCCCAGATTTCACTCTGAGTGATTTTTTTGTCCTGATGGCATCTGTGTAACATTTTAAATGGTATTGCTTCCAAAGCAGTAATTCTTAGCATTGTTATGAAAATACAATAATACATCTTAAATTATTTCAAATAAAAGGTTAAAATGACAGCGAATTTTTTTCTTAGATTTGTATATACAGTCAGACTTATGAGCAGTGTCTCTGAAAGAACAACTTGTCATTTTCATTCTTAACGAGTCTGTGTGGCAGTAATTGATTGGGTGGGTTTTCATTTAGATTCTGAAAAAGAAGCCCTGTATCCTTCATGGGCCAGGGGGAGAAAAGCCTTTCCCCTGGGGGCAGAGGAAGACGAACAGGACCATAAGGGTGATGACGAAGGCTGTGAGGAAGAGGAAGGTCAGAATGACCTAAACCAGTTCTGTTAAGTGGTAGCCAGTATCAAGGAATTAGAGTTATAAGCGAAGCCGTTGGACAGGGCTGTTGAAGTTCTTTTATGAACTTGAAGAACTTTTCCTAATTAATTTATAAATGCTTTTAAAAGTATTCTGGGGCTTCCCTGGTGGCACAGTGGTTGAGAGTCCGCCTGCCAATGCAGGGGACGTGGGTTCATGCCCTGGTCCGGGAAGATCCCATGTGCTGCGGAGCGGCTGGGCCCGTGAGCCATGGCCGCTGAGCCTGCGCGTCCAGAGCCTGTGCTCCGCAACGGAAGAGGCCACAACAGTGAGAGGCCCGCGTACCACAAAAAAGAAAAAAAAAATCCAATTAAAAGTATTCTGACCAGACCTAACCCAGGCGTCTTGTGGAGAATAGGCATAGTGTAGGTATGGTATTTGTGGACAGTGTAAAAGCTCCCACTTTACTCATTTAGTGGCACAGACAGATGATTAAAAATACTATATTCTGGGGACTTGCCTAGTGGCGCAGTGGTTAGGAATCTGCCTGCCAACTCAGGGGACACGGGTTCGAGCCCTGGTCCGGGAAGATCCCACATGCCGTGGAGCAATTAAGCCCGTGCACCACGACTACTGAGCTTGCTCTCTAGAGCCTGTGAGCCACAACTACTGAGCTCGCGTGCCACAACTACTGAAGCCCACGTGCCTCGAGCCCATGCTCCACAGCAAGAGAAGCCACCGCAATGAGAAGCCCGCACACCACAACAAAGAGTAGACCCCGACACGCAGCAACTAGAGAAAGCCCGTGCAGCAACGAAGACCCAACACAGCCAAAATAAATAAATAAATTTATTTTAAAAAAATCCAAAGAAACAAAAAATTGTATTCTGGCTTTTGCCCACAGAGCCTATGAAGAAAGCACCTGATAAACCAGAAGGAGGAAATGACCAAACAGAATGCTTCCCCTGAAACCAAAATTCAGAAATTAGAAGGTAACTTCTTTGCTGCGTTTTAGAGCACAAGAGACACGTGGAGAGTTTCATATTGGCAAAAACGAAAACTCTGTTAGCCCAAATGATGGACAAAGGGATTTTAATTGCAGCCTGGTGTTACAATATGCCAGATTCTTCAATGGAAATTTTTTTTTAGCATCATTCTTTCTGAACTGTTTCTTTGAGTTCTTTCTCTCTCTCTCTCTCTCTCTTTTTCTTTGCCTTTTTGTATGTCAGCTAAACCACCTGTAAGTTTCAAACTATTTGTTGGAAACCTGAATTTCAACAGAACTGTTGCTGAACTAAAAACTGGTCTTAGTGAATTTTTTGCTAAAAATGACATCGCAGTCGTTGGTGTCAGAGTTGGCTTGTCCAGGTGAATACTGATAAATTAAGGGTGTTGTTAAGAGTTTATCAGCCCAACAATTATTATTCTTGTCAGAACCTTTTGTTACTTGTTCTTCGCCCTTTATAAGATATTACCTCAGCCTCTTGCAGTTCAGAATGAGTATTTAAAGTCCTTCAGTGGCTCGTTTAATAAATCCATTATATTAAATTTTGCTATCCCATTTTTCCAAACAAAATACTAAACTAATCACAAGATCTTCCAGGTCTTTACAGAAACATGTTTTCATGATTTTCCAACTGTGAGCAATGTTATTTGTCTAGAATTATTTTAAACGAACACAGATTTAATCACAAAACCCCTAGCTTTGGTGGCAAATATAGGTTCTGTATCAGTTCTGCTTTTTTGCTGAATTAAATTTCATCCTTTCTTACTTCTTTCTCATCAGAAGCATATGTCTTGGGTGTGAGCATGCTTATTTTATGGTACTCAGGATTTCTTAGGTAGAAATGAAAAGATAATAATAATAGTAAACATTCATTGAGTACTCACTCTACCAGGCATTGTTCCTTGTTTATTTAACTCATTGAATCCATAAGACAATTCTCAGCAGTAATTATTGTCATTATCCCCATTTTACAAAGGAGGAAATTGAGGCACAGAGAAGTTAAGTGACATATCGAATATCACACAGTTAGAAAGTGGCAGGGTCAGGATTTGAGCCCAGCATTCTGGCTCCAGAGGTGATGCCACAACTTTTGACACATTGCTCTGCTTACACTTTTTATTAACTATATTGTGAAATATTGTTGTGTTTGTAGTAAATAAACATTCCTTTTGCATTAAAAATAAATTCTTGGGACTTCCCTGGTGGCGCAGTGGTTAAGAATCCACCGGCCAATGCAGGGAACACGGGTTCAAGCCCTGGTCCTGGAGGATCCCACATGCTGCGGAGCAACTAAGCCGTTCGCCACAACTACTGAGCCTGCACTTTAGAGCCCGCGAGCCACAACTACTGAGCCCGTGTGCCACAGCTACTGAAGCCTGTGGACCTAGAGCCTGTGCTCCGCAACAAGAGAAGCCACCGCAATGAGAAGCCCGTGCACCGCAACGAAGAGTAGCCCCCGCTCGCTGCAACTAGAGAAAGCCTGCGCGCAGCAACAAAGACCCAATGCCGCCAAAAATAAATAAATTTATTTAAAAAAAATATCCCACAAGACGCATGGCATGGCCAAAAAAAAAAAAAGATATTTTTGTTTCAATTCACAAGTGCAATGGCTGTTTCTTAAAACAGAAATTCAAAAGCGTGTCATTTCAAGTTTCATTTTTTATAGCTTTTGGTTAAATCTGGCCAGTAGTTAGAAAACTAATAATGATTTCAACGGGTGAGTTTGCCCTGACTCTCAGTCCTTGCCCTGGAGGAGGGCTTCTCGACTCTTGCACTATTAAAATTTGGGGCCAGCTAATTCCTTGTTGGGGGGGACTGTTCAACAGCATCCCTGGATTCTACCCACTAGATGCTAGAAGTCTCCCAGTTGTGACGGCCAAAGATGTCTCCAGATATTGTCAGCCTCACCCCAGGTGAGAACTGCTGCTCTCTGGTTACTTGATGGCACTGATATTGCCAGTTAGGGGAGGCTTGGTTTTAATTTGTAAAATTTGACAGCTGCGTTTGACTCAATGCTAATTTCCACTTTCACAGCCAGTTTGAGTAGCCAGCTGGAAGGCATATGCCTTTTGACTCTACTTGTGTTTTTTTTTTTCCTTTTCGGCTGCATCTCTGTAGGAGATTTGGTTATGTGAATTTTAAATCTGCTAACGACCAGGAAAAAGCCCTGGAACTTAGTGAGACAAACGTCCTTGGATATGAAATTAAATGGAAGAAACCGAAAAGGGAAAGGAAACAAAGAAACGTATGCAAGCAAGGTAACTTGTTCAGAGATACCTGTGTACCTAGAAGACGCTGCATCAGACAGGAATATTGTATTCTTTCTTACTCCGTGCAAGCACTCCTCAGTTTCTAGCAAGTCGCCTACTTCCACAGCACAGACTCTCTCTGCTGTGCTCACTCCTTCTGCTCGAGCCGCACGGCTCACCTTCTCTGTCCTAATGTTCGTGACTTATCCCCTGGCTATTGACAACCCATTCAAGAGTCTCAGCTTAAAGGTCACCTCTGCAGATCAGAAAAATTTTCCCTTACCCCCAGACTAAGTTAAGTCTTCTCTACTTGATGTTCTTTTTTCCCTTTTTACTTTTCCTTCCTGACACTTACCACAGTTTGTAATTATGTGACTATTTGTTTACTAGCGTTTTCCCCAACAAGACTACATTCTCAAGAGTGGAGGCCAAGTCCGTATTTTCACAGCCAGCACGTAGCACAGGCCGTCATCACCCAGACGCTGTGTGCAAATGTTTGTTTTTTTAAATATTTTATTTATTTATCTTCCTTATTTATTATTATTAATTTTTTGGCTGTGTCAGGTCTTAGTTATGGCACATGGGATCTTTGTTGAGGCATGAGAGATCTTTTTGTTACGGCGCGCACGGGCTTCTCTCTAGTTGTGGCATGCAGGTTTTCTCTTTCTGCTTGCAGCGTGCAGGCTCCAGGGCATGTGGGCTCTGTAGTTTGCAGCGCGTGGGCTTAGTTGCCCTGCAGTATGTGGGATCTTAGTTCCCCGACCAGGGATTGAACCTGCGTCCCCTGCATTGGAAGGTGGATTCTTTACCACTGGACCACCAGGGAAGTCCCCAAATATTGTTAAATGAAGGAATATGTACTACTCTCCAACTCTTTGAGAAGTATTTTTTCTCTCTTAGAGAACTCTTGATGCTTATGAGATCTAAACTCAGACTAAAAATACTCTTTTTGTGTTTATGAAGATGGAAATGCCAAAACACTTTTGATCAAGAACTTGCCTGACAGAGTCACTCAGCATGAATTAATAGAAGTGTTTGAGGATACTTTTCAAATCAGATTGGTGAGCAAGGATGGGATGAGTGAAAGGTATGTCTTTGTACCTTGTACTGAAAAAGAATATATGATAACAGAATTTCATTGTATTCTCCCAAATCACTCATACCGGATTTTAGAGAAGGAAAAAGTAGTTATCCAGCCTTTCTACCAGCAGGCAGAAAAAGCATCATAAATGGATATCCAAAGGCTTCTAGAAGACTGTAGGGCTGTCATAGAGAAATGAAGACTTTATTCTATCAAGTACAAGATTGAAGATTAGAAGAATCCACTCATAGGTTATCATCATCCTATCTCTCCAGGGCTGACTACAGGAAAATAACACCCTTGGCGACTTGTCTGGACAGGTACCAAAAGAGAACATTAACTTGGTCTGTTAGAATTATGTTGTAGCCAATTAATGAAACACTGTCACTATATATCTGGGCTTTGGTAGCCTAAGAGGGTGAATATGGTGAAATTAGAAAGGATGGAATAGAATGTATTTTGAAGGGATTCTCAATGTGGTAAAAATTGGGTATCAGGATTACAGATACATTTGAGCTAAATTTGTTGGTGTAGGTGAACTCTAAAATAATCTATGCCACTGTATTCTGATGAACATAATCTCTGGAAAAGAATCCCACAGATTTAGAAAACAAGTCTGAAAAGATAAATCCCAAATTGTTAGCAGTGTTTACTGTGAGGAGGTTTGGGGGCACTCTGCTGGGCTTGCATACCATACCCCAAAATTAACTCAAAATAGATCAAAGACCTAAATGTAAGAGCTAAAATAGAAAACTACGAACAAAACACAGGAGTAAATCTTTGTGATCTTGGATTAGAGTCTTACACAAGCAATAAAAGAGAAGATTGAGAAGTTGGGCTTTATCAAAATTAAAAACATTTGTACTTCAGAGGACACTATCTAAAAAGTCAAAAGAAACCCTACATCCTGGGAGAAAATATTGCAAATCATATATATGAAAGAGACCTGTATATATAAAAGATATATAAAGAACTCTTACAGCTCAATAATTAAAAGACAACCCAATTAAAAAATGGGGAAAGGACTTGAATGACCATTTCTCCAAACAAGGTGTACAAACGGCCAATAAGCATGTAGAAAGATGCTCAACATTAGTCACTGAGGGAGTGCAAATCAAAACCATGATGTGAAGGAGGGCTGAGTCAAGATGGTGGACTAGGAGGACGCGGAATTCGCATCTCCGCACAACTAGGGAACCTACCAGGCACCGTTGGGGGATCATGGACACCTAAGTGGATGGGAGGAACTGCTAGTAACCGGCTTGTGGGATATTGGTTCCCAGGCTGGAGGTTGGGTCTGAGCTCCTGTAGTGGGAGCTCTGAGTCCAAACTGCTGGACTAACAGAGAACCTCAGACCCCAGGGAGTATTCATTGGAGTGAGGCCTCCCATGGGTCCTAATCTCAGCACCAAGACCCAGCTCTATCCAACTGCCTGCAAACTCCAGTGCTGGACGCCTCAGGCCAAACAACCAGCAAGACAGGAACACAGCCCCACCCATCAAAAAAAGAAAAAAGAAACGACAGAAAAATATGTTACAGACGAAGGAGCAAGATAAAAACCCACAAAACCAAATAAATGAAGATGAAATAGGCAACCTATAATTCAGAGTAAAGATGATGCAAAATTTCGGAAACAGAACGGAGAAAATATAAGAAACAGTTAACAAGGATCTAGAAGAACTAAAGAGCAAACAAACAGTGATGAATAACACAATAACTGAAATTAAAAGTACCCTGGAAGGAATCAATAGGAGAATAACTGAGGCAGAAGAATGGATAAGTGAGCTGGAAGATAAAATGGTGGGAATAACTGCCAGGGAGCAGAATAAAGAAAAAAGAATGAAAAGAATTGAGGACGGTCTCAGAGACATCTGGGACGACACTAAATGCACCAACATTCGAATTATAGGCGTCCCAGAAGAAGAAGAAAGAAAGAAAGAAAGAAAGGGTATGAGAAAATATTTGAAGAGGTTATAGTCGAAAACTTCCCTAACATGGGAAAGGAAATAGTCAAGTCCAAGAAGCGCAGGGAGTCCCATACAGGATTAACCAAAGAGAAACACGCCAAGACACATATTAATCAAACTATCAAAAATTAAATACAAAGAAAAAATATTAAAAGCAACAAGGGAAAAGCAACATATAACATATAAGGGAATCCCCATAAGGTTAACAGCTGATCTTTGAGCAGAAACTCTGCAAGCCAGGAGGGAGTGGCAGGACATATTTAAAGTGATGAAAGGGAAAAACCTAAAAGCAAGATTACTCTACCCAGCAAGGATCTCATTCAGATTGAACGGAGAAATTAAAACCTTTACAGACAAGCATAGTTAAGAGAATTCAGCACCACCAAACCAGCTTTACAACAAATGCAAAAGGAACTTCTCTAGGCAGGGAACACAAGAGAAGGAAAAGACCTACAAAAACAAACGCAAAACAATTAAGAAAATGGTAATAGGAACATACATATCGATAGTTACCTTAAATGTAAATGGATTAAATGCTCCAACCAAAAGATATAGACTGGCTGAATGGAAACAAAAACAAGACCTGTATATATACTGTCTACAAGAGACCCAATTTAGACCTAGAGACGTATACAGACTGAAAAAGATATTCCATGCAAATGGAAATCAAAAGAAAGCTGGTGCAGCAATTCTCATTGACTTTAAAATAAAGACGATTACCAGAGACAAAGAAGGACACTACATAATGATCAAGGGATCAATTCAGAAGATACGACAATTGTAAATGTTTATGCATCCAACACAGGAGCACCTCAATACATAAGGAAAATGCTAACAGCCATAAAGTGGGAAATCGACAGTAACACAATAATAGCAGGGGACTTTTAACACCCCACGTTCACCAATGGACAGATCATCCAAAATGAAAATAAATAAGGAAACACAAGCTTTAAATGACACATTAAACAAGATGGACTTAATTGATATTTATAGGGCATTCCATCCAAAAACAACAGAATACACTTTCTTCTCAAGTGCTCATGGAACATTCTCCAGGATAGACCATATCTAGGGTCACAAATCAAGCCTTGGCAAATTTAAGAAAATTGAAATCATATCAAGTATCTTTTCTGATCACAATGCTATGAGACTAGATATCAATTACAGGCAAAAAACTGTAAAAAATACAAACACATGGAGGCTAAACAATATGCTACTAAATAACCAAGAGATCGCTGAAGAAATCAAAGAGGAAATCAAAAAATACCTAGAAACAAATGACAGAACACGACGACCCAAAACCTATGGGATGCAGCAAAAGCAGTTGTAAGAGGGAAGTTTATAGCAATACAATCCTACCTCAAGAAACAAGAAAATCTCAAACAACCTAACCTTACACCTAAAGCAACTAGAGAAAGAACAAAAAAAAAAAAACCCCAAAGTTAGCAGAAGGAAAGAAATCATAAAGATCAGATCAGAAATAAATAAAAAAGAAATGAAGGAAACAATGGCAAAGATCAATGAAACTAAAAGCTGGTTCTTTGAGAAGATA